TTTCCTGAGTGTAAGTAAACAGGAGGACTGTGGCTCACCGTGTGACAGTAGAAAGTCTCAACTCAAAAGAAAGTCTCATGTCAATTAGGACAAGTTCAAAGAAAGTTAATCCTCGCCAAAAAAGACTCAAGTCAAGTTCCAAGTCATTCAGAACAAGTTGTAAACTGAATATCTTTGGGATTTCGCCTGTTGGTCAGAAAGCTTAACTTTTTTTGAAATGTTGGAGAATATTATTATTATATCAATAATGAAAATAATCATTAGTTGTAACCCTAGTCAAGGTATATTTGTGGCTGAAGTTTGACTAATGCAAGTATCAAGTTTTGTCATAACATGTCTCACGCCAAGTCCCAAGTTAGTAAAGACAAATTCAAATGAAATATCAAGTCCTGTCAAAGCAGTTTCCAAGCAAATCCAAGTGAGTCGAGACAAGTCAAATATCGAGTGTGTCAAAAAAAGTCTAAACCCAAACGAGACGTGTCCGTGTCGAGTCCAATGTCTAGTCAAAACATGTCTCAAGTCAAGTTCCACATCCCTGAAGGTTAGGGAGGGGCAAGTCTTCATAAGCAAAATGCAAATCGGATGACGGTGTGTGGCTTATTATTGTTCCGGGATTTTAAAAAAAAAGGTCAGAACTTGTGTTTATGATTTAAAATCTAAAGTCAAATTACGGAGTTGAGTAGCCCTACAGCCCTGCCAGTTAATATTTAGGTTGTTAGGTTTAGTTTAAGGATAAGATTTCAGATTTCTAGTTGGTTACAGTTGAGGTTGGGGGGGGGGGGGGGGTAAATGTAAATGAAGGAACATACATTTGACATTTGACCTTGTATGACTGCAGTTTGCAATATTTGTTTGGAGGAAAGACATGCAGACGCTGCTGACAATGAAAATTATAGCAAACCAGGAAAACTAAAGCAAAGTCATAGTTGGTGCACCTCAAATATGAAAGGGAGATGAATGATTTGACCCTGAGAAATTGATATCTTAAAACTCACCCCCAGACACACACACACACACACATAGACCCTTGTATTTGCTTTCATAAGATTTGAGGAAGTGACAAGGTACAAGCTCCCTTAGAAGGCTGAGAAAATGAAGCAGTTTATGGGAACAAGTACTACTTAAAAAAAACACACACATTTGATAACACAACTCAGGGGAATGAGATATTGAGAACATGCAGGCAAGAGGGAAACAGTGATGGATGGAAGACAGAAGGGGAAGTGAAGGAAAGGCACATACACACTGTAGTGTCATGCTTTAATGTGAGCTGGCAGACCGCGAGCGGGACAGAAGCAGATCATAGAAACCAGTCATTCAGATCAGATGACCATTCAAATCAACCCGTCACACCAGAGGGTTTCATTTTGGTCCAGTGTGAGTATCTGAAGGGGCCACAGACACATATTTGGACTGAAACTGCTGATAAATTATTTCACTAAATTATGTGTTTAAACTTGTCAAATTCAGGATAAACTATTTTAAGAATGTTTTTCTTTCCAGAGAGGAAAGGCCTCTGAAACAATAAATAATGTTTAATCATTTCGGGGTTATGAACTGAGAAAGAAAATGCCAAAATATCCTGCAGCCAGTTTGCAGGCAGCAACGGAGACTGAGATATTACTGAGATATTATCCATCACAGACCCACTCCTGGACCCCTACAGAACCAACAAGTCTGTAAACATGGCCCTTCACTACATCCTCCAGCATGTGGACTCCCCAGGAACCTACGCCAGGATCCTATTTGTGGATTCCAGCTCTGCTTTCAACACCATCATCCCGGCCCTGCTGCAGGACTCCACCTGCAAGTGGATCACAGACTCCCTTACGGACCAGAAGCAGCATGTTAAGCTTGGGAAACATCTCTCTGACTCCAGGACCATCAGCACCGGTTCCCCTCAAAGCTGTGTTCTTTCCCCCCTTCTCTCCTCCCTGTACACCAACAGCTGCGCCTCCAGTCACCAGTCCTTCAAGCTCCTGAAGTTTGCAGATGACACCACCCTCATTGGGCTCATCTCAGGTGGGGATGAGTCTGCTTACAGGTGTGAGATCGACCATCTGGTGACCTGGTGCAGCCAGAACAGCCTGGAGCTCAACTCACTGAAGACAGTAGAGATGATCGTAGAGCCCAGCCAAGCTCCACCCTCCCCCATCATCCTGGGTGACACCGCAGTCACCACTGTGGACTCCTTAAGTTAACCTCAAGTGGGAGCTGAACATCACCTCCATCACCAAAAAGGCCCAGCAGAGGATGTACTTCCTGCGGCAGCAGAAGAAGTTCAGCCTGGCAAAGACAATGATGGCGCACTTCTACACCACCAGCTGGTACGCTGCTGCCACTGCCAGGGACAAGGGCAGGATTATCATTCGCTCTGCAGAGAAGGTGATTGGTTGTCACCTTCCATCACTTCAGGACCTAAACGCCTCCAGGACTCTGAGGCGTGCAGGAAAGATTTCAGCTGACCCCTCCCATCCCGGACACAAACTGTTTCAGACACTCCCATCTGGCAGGAGGCTGCGGTCCATCAGGACCCTCTCGCCACAAGAACAGTTTCTTCACGATTGCAGCGGGCTTTGTCAACAAAACCCAGGTCCCCACTGTCACTGACTCTAATGCCCCCCTCCCCAAACACACACTCATACACACTCCTGACCCCACACTTTACAGGAACGCTCAACTGTGCTTTTTGCACATACTTGTGAACATTGTATTATAGTATTATTGTAATTTTCCATGTTAATGTGTACTGTAAGCACCGATTTATACCAAGGCAAATTCCTCGTATGAGAAAATGTACCTGGCAATAAGACCGATTCTGATTTTACAATCATTACTGTGTTTGTGCATGCAAGCTACACATACTACTACAAACTCTGTCTTTATATGTGTGTGGTGGAAGTCTTCACATGGCCAAAAATTTGAATCAGACAAAAAAAATTTCAATTATAAAAAGACCCAAACTGAAGACGGACCTGTTTGTTTCAGATTTACAGACCAAAACCCAAATAGATGTGTCATTCAGCATAATAATTTAAAGAAAGGCCATTGTACTGACACAAAGGCATGCCAAATGACTTCTTCCAGGAGAGGGCTGCCTGAGTGACAGATGAACTTTTTATTATAAAAATCCCAAAAAGATGAAAAAGAACTTATTAGTTATGTGCAAAAACACTGTGTCCTCTACATAGTGAAGCTGACTGGGTCTGGCTTGCTCTTCAGTAGCCAAATGCCTCCTGGTCAAAAAGCAGTGCGAATCTCTTAAACCCGACTGACTGCCCATGGTTCAGCCAGTACAAACTCATATCGTCCAGCCAAAGTCCTTCAGACGCAAATATCTATATATTAAGTCCAAAAGGTTCAGTTTCGGAACAATCTGTCTAAATTGATGTACAAAGCATCTGGAATATCTACGGTTTGAGTATTTCACTCAGTGTAAACAAGAGAAACTTCATCCAGTCTAACAATGTTTTCTTCCCACATCCTGTATGCATGTAGTGATATACGGTGGCACTATGTACCAAGCAACATAAAAGCAAGGTGTGGTCCTGAGCCCAACAAACCAAAACCTGACCACATGATGGTGAGGTTGGGTGTGGTCAGAGTTTCAAGAGACTTGTACCCTTCAACTCAGAGGACAATGAAGCTTTGTTTTTCTTCCTTCCAAAATCCAGTGTGGATTAAGGTTAAACAAATGAGGAGTTCTGTATGATAAGGGGTAACAGTCTCTGCAAAAATGTGTAAAGAAAGACATAATATACTCATAATATTTTACAACAGCAGTCTTTTAGTGCTTGGTAACAAAACGTCCAATAAAAAGGGGATGATCAGAAACTCACATGCATTTCATTCTGGGGAGTTGCTACTCTCCCCCCTTTGTAATTGTATTTTTTTTATATGCACAAACAAGCACCGGTTCAGTGAAACTAACTGGGGCTTGCCGACTTTGGGAAAATCTCTGTAGCCAAAACAGCTGCGACCAGACCAGCAGGGAAAACTCAAGCGGTAAGAGACATGTCGTCAGAAATTGGCTGCCATCATCACCCTGTTCTCAGGCACTGTGGGGCCACATTTAAACCAAGAGACCCAGAACAGCTCTTGATGCCACCCAGAATCATAATAGAGGAGGAAATGTGGATGCAAGATCAGTTCAGGTCTGAACATGTCGCTGGTTGATCTGGCCTGGAGACCTCTAATGTGTGTTTGTGTATAAACAAGGGTCTTATTGTAATCTCTCATTCACTTGAGGTTGACATCTACATAACTTGAAGCTTAACTTTCTACATCAATTATTGTTCCTGTGTGTGTGTGTGTGTGTGTGTGTGTGTGTACTCTTGTATTATTTATGGGAAGGAGTTTTATTTAATGGTCCATAACTTCATTGGCTGTCTGAAACTTTTTGTTCAGGTATAGGGTAACTGTTCTGTTTCTTTGTCTTGAAACCTGTATTTTTCCCCCACTGTAAGCATCTTACCGCTTCTCACTGCAATATTAGAAGAATGCAATGTCGGTTGTGTTTGTGTATTAAAGCTTCAGTTCCTTGACAATTGCCTCAACGACATCATGGAGTTCAAATAGAAGAATAAAGCAATATAATTAGCGAGAGAGAGAGAGAGAGAGAGCGAGAGAGCGAGGTGTGTATTGTGTTAGTAATTGGCTGATATGTGAGAAGAGTGTTTGCATAAGGGGCAGCAGAATAACAGCAAGAATTAATTTCTTAAAAACGGCCTGAAGCTTCCAATTACCCCCCTCCCCCACCCCCTCCCCCACCACACACACAAAATGTACGAAAACACACAAGCAGCTGAAAGACGCCAAAATAAACAGCCAATGGCATTCAAGAGAACCTACAACGCTTGCTAATGACAGCAGAGGAGGGGGGGGGTGGGATTTGAAAAATGAAATGATAGCTATGTAAAAAAGGGTGAAAGAGCAAGTGGTATATATTTTGTGAAAAAAAATGAGAATGAAAAAAAGTCAAAGTTGTAACGCTTCCTTACCTGTTCAGTGTTCAGGCCTGTTGATCTCTGATGACATCAAACACCTCACTCTCCTAAAAGACAAAACAAAAAATGTTTGGATAAATTTGGGTTGGTATGTTTGTAGCTGGAACCATTGGTCTCAAATCACAGCTTGGATGTGCTGGAACAGGAATCAGTGACTGGCCCGAGGGTTGCACTCGAATTACAGGTCAAAACTAGGTGACGTTTGTTACTGATAATGATCTGCTGCTGCTGCTTCTGTCCTCTGCTGAGTCTAAACGGACAGTCTTGAGCACTCCAAATTTCGGCACTGTTTTCCGTACGGGACATCAAATACTGTAAACTACGCAAAACTGTCACATGCTGCCGTTCTGCTGCTGCAACCCGATATCATGCCAAAACAGGTAATAAACACATGCCGGTCCACCGTTGCAGGGGCAAATGTTTCCTCGCCAAGGCAGTCAAGTTAGCAATAATAAATACGTAGTATGAGAAACATTTCAGGTCATAGGTACGGTTTGGTTTGTTAGGTTTAGGCACCAAAACTACTTGGTTATGTTTATACACAGATCATGGTTTGGGCTAAAATAACTACTTCCTTAAACCTAGGGAAGGCAACATTGGAGAAACTAGCAAGAGACGTCTAGATTAGAACAAAATCTCTACCCCTCCCTTCAGGCCTCCCTCCAAAGCCACTCCCCCAAAACACATGTTCATGAGTACACAGGTAGGTAAGCCAGATTGGTCATGCTCATTAAAGTCCAACAACCACATTTCTGTGTCAGATCATTTGACTTTGATTACTGTTGGGATGTAAAGAGAATTTCCACAAATATAACAAAGATTGCTTCTGAAATAAACTTCCTACCCCAGCTTTAAAACAATCAACAATGACTATTTCATTTCACACAGAAACAAACCCAAATCTCCCGTGTGAAATTCCTGTGACCCATTTATCTTCTGTTTGAGCCTTAATTAAATTTAGTAGCCAATACTTGAGTAGAAATTTGACATTTAAGACTTCTTGAGTTGTATTTTGGTTTGAACGGATCAACCGTTGATCAATATATTCAAAACTAATTTTGCTATAGCCTCTTTAAGTTTGTATTCAAGATAATCCCTTTGCGTTTCCGGTGGATTTTTTCCATCTACCATTCCCCTTGGCCGGTGGGTCAAAAAGTTAATTTCAGACACTGACCGATTAAAGTTATTAGCCGCGTTTCCGTCAATGTTTTTTAATGCACATTTTGAAGTATAGCATTAGAAAAGGTTGATGGAAACGGCAAAATTCAAATAAAACTTTCTTAATTTCGCAAAAAAGTTTTTACGCTCACTTGAGGTGGTTTTTGTCTTTGTCGAAAAAGAATCCATGCGAATAATGGAAGATGGAAACACTTTTTTCGTTTCAAACCAGATGATGGAAACACTCCTATTTTGCATTATCGTTTATTATTAGTTTATTTTTTTGCGACAAGCAACAAGCAACAGTGCATCATGAAGTAGATTGGCTGATCATTAATGCTGTTAACTTAAATATGTATAAATAGATAAACATAATAAATTGTTGAATGTGTCTCATATGCTGACTTGGTATCAGAGTACAGCCGCAAATAACAATTTAATTGTAATATCAAATAATTTATGTATTATGTTTTAATTTTTTCTATTAAAGTTCCCAGATGCCAATGAGGCCAAATGACCCTAGTGATCCTCTGACTTTCACTTTGTCCAGCACTTGGTTTATGACCAAATACCTGCAAAACTACTTACAATTCCATTAGCTTAAGCTGTACTATGTGTTTAGTGCTGACGTAATAATGAAAATATTCGCATACTAACAAACTAAACCAAGTGTTGAACATGGTAAACTGCTAACGTCAGCATGTTAGCATTGCCGCTGTTAGTGAGTTAGCATGCTGATGTTAGCATTGGGCTCAATGATGGTGCATATTTATTTATTGGTCATCTCTCCATAAAGTTTTATAAACATAGGGATCATATATACTTCGGTACATCAAACATTCTTAACCTGCACAATGATACTGTGAATAACTCAGTTTCAACAAAATTTAATCTGGCCCGACTGCAACAGAACCTGCTATAGAAAAGCCTGTGGATCAAAGTGAGTGCAATGTTAATTAAACATAATTAATTCACAGAAACTGCCAGAAATCTCGTATTATCTATCAGAGAGAAAAGCGTATTACTGCCTGGAATAATAACAAAAAGCTGGAGCTCTGCCTGAGTTTAAATAGACCCCTTCATCAGGGCATGAATTAAACTAAAGACATTTTAATTTGTGATAATACGGGAAGAGAGCCTCAGTTTTTCCTCTCGTAACGATAACAATAATGCTTATAGGCTCACCAGGCTCTAAAATAAAAAGGGACTTTTTAACTGAGAAGATAAAGGAAAAAATCAATTTGGGAAGTAATCTTCATAATGAGACAACCAATCAGACAAAAAGCTACCGACGCCGCGAGCGTATAATGGACAAAGACCAGCCGTGGCCCAAGTGTGGCTGAGTAAGCCTCCGGTAATCCAGTTCACAGGTATCTTAATTTTCATTTCACACCGTTACACTCAGATGAGGACGCTGCTCGCCTCTCCTGCAGAAACACAAATGAATGTCGCCTTTCATTTCGCATTGAAACAAGTGGCAAAGCAGCAAGTCACTGAATGTGTGTGTTGAGTGTGTTAGTGTGTGTGTGGTTCAGTTTGTTTGGCAGCACTTCTAACAATGTTGAGGCCCTCGGTGCTATCCAACAGAATGGCCTAGTCTGTCTCCACTCTATCTCAAAAGAACCATATGCTTCTGGATAGCAGGGCCGACTCGTGTGTGTGTGTGTGTGTGTGTTCAATTGTTTGCGTGAGTGTGTGTCCATATGTCTTAGCATCTAAAATCCAACATCTAAAACATCCAGATGGTGAAGCATCAGTCCACACAATGTTTACTTCCATCATCAGGAAGTGGCTTGAAAACCATTAAAAGACAATAAATATTCATCATCTGGGCTTAAGGGAGCAAACACACCACTCGTTTGACAATTATAGTGCAGTTATCTTATTATGATAAGTATAACAAAAAGATGCCATGGAGAATAAGAGAAACTGTGTTCTAAATAAGCAAAAGAAATGGATTAAATTTAACATGAATTGACAGCTCCAGTTCTCCTCGCTTACTTTTTAATCTTTTGTCAGCTGGATTTAGGTCCCCAGTGTTAAGATGATGGTAAAATCTCAAATCAGTCCAACCGTAGTTATTTAAAAAGAAGTAACCAATCAAAAGCATGCTTTCTAGCTCCACCTAAATTGTAAAAATTTTTTCAGGTTCAAGGCTGCATTAGAGATGAGACAAAACACAACAGACTGACACATGGACATCGTTCTCAGTCAACGGCCACGGTTAACCTTCGTCATGCTGATCGAGGTACTATGTCGATTGAAGAGTTGTTATTTTGGTATGTGGCGATTTAAAACCATTTTACAGTTACACAACTTGTCCACCAGAGAGCGCTGACAAGAAGAATTTTCATCTGTAAAATGTCCCATTCCATGTGCATGTTGGTCTTTCTCTAAAAAAAAAAAAGAGGTTCACTGTTATTGTTTATTAATCATTGTAAACGTGAGAATTAATCTTGATTTCAGGCACCCAGCCCTAATTTCCATTTTTTGTCACTCTATAATTGAGTGCTACTTTCTAAATAAATTAAAAGACGACAATAATATGATAGGCGTCAGGTGACACACACCTCAAAATATCTGAAACATTTTCATGAGTTGAGGGTTATCATGCATTCTTCTCTTAGCTCACCCTCCCCTGGCCTATCCTCTGCCTCTTTCATTTTCACTCTCCTTCTCTTCTATATGATTCAGCAACTGTCTGTTAATCAGTAATCGGCTGGAACAAGCGGAAGCCTGCACAGTTGCATATTGTTTTCATTTAAATAAACTTTTTTGCGACGAATAGTGTGATGGCAGTGCCACTTAAATGTATTTTTACTATGATTTATTGTAGTAGCAGTAATATAAATCCTGATTTTCATAAAATCTTTGGCCGAACTTAACAATAATAATGAGGCAGACGGAGGACAGTGGACCCGCACAGCAGGTCCAGATTGTAGGCAGGGACGCCCTCTGCTCTCTGTCTGACCTCTACAAAAGGAAAAAAACTAAACAAAAACGCATACACAGTCTGTCCATCTCATACACACAGACACACAGACAACATGAGTCATGTGTCATGTGCCAAGAGAGACGGTCGTACAGCAGCAGCCACCTCCGGAGACAAAGACCCCAAACACACTTTCTATTATGAACATACACCCAACTGTTCATACACAACAAGTTCATGACCAATGCTTCATTTTTTGTGCATTTAAATACACAGACACACACAAAAGACGTAGAAACCGTGTGAATGAGTAACAAATAAATAATATCTCAAATATCCACTAGAAGGTGGAAGAGTTTTATTGTTAGCAGCTAAAGGTTTTGGATTTGAATGGGAAGTTGTCATTGGCTCTGCACTTTTACAGAAATGGTGTGTTTTAGGGATGTCTCTCTCCACTGCCTCCACAGAGAACTCAGAAAACTGAAGCTAGATTGTGAATCTTGCAAACTCGCAATTCTTAATTCTGTTATGTCTGTGGTATCTAACGTTTTTAAAATCGTTAAAGATTTGAAAATGGTCTAGTGTGCAGCCGGAATAACTGAACAGCTTAGTCTATAAAATGTCAGAAAATATCTTCAAGCATCTTCTTTTAACAGACTTAAACCAATTTTTCAATTCACAATGATATAAAACAGAGAAAATTTGAATATTCTTACATTAGAGAAGTTAGAACTGATTTACTGTTGGCATTTTTTGCTTAAAAAAACCCCAACAATTTCACAGTTTGTCAATTAACATTTGTAATTTATTGACTCATAATTTAGCTGATGCTTTTATCCAAAGCGACTTCCAAATTTCAGAGGTCGCACGCCTCTGGAGCAACTAGGGGTTAAGTGTGTTGCTCAGGGACACATTGGCAGATGCGTTGCCAATGGAATTGAACCCGGGTCTCACGCC